GAGAGAGAGAGAGAGAGAGAGAGAGAGAGAGAGAACATTTGCAGTAATTTTAACGTCAAAAGGACATTAAAGACATTATTTTGATATCAGAATGATGACAAATAACGACAATTCTTCTCTGAGGACGACTTAAACAACGATTAACTCAATCAGCAGTGTAGTCAACAGCAAGACTGTATATCGTTCTTAACCTCATCTCTTCGTGATATACTTCTATCTCTGCGTTCTTATACTTAACTGTGATAAAAGTAATGAAAATCTGCTATCTATAATAGTAATTCTGCTGATTGAGTTAATCGTCGATTAAGTTAATCGGCGTTGGTACCAGTCGCCCTGAATGTTCGTCGTACATTGATAGCAGTTGATGGCGTTATGGAAGCACAATAAAACAATGGCCGGTTACTTTGGTGCGTTGTGGTTTAAGGTTCGTAACCGGTCGGCCATTATCGCCACACTTCGGATTCAGTTCCGAGCCGCGCAAGCGCAAACGCAAATTTTATCCCCGTACTCGTCTGGCACGTCCGCCATGTCTGTTTCTCCTTTCCAGATCTCGCTTTCACCCCTGTGTGTGTTTATCATATTCGGTAAAGCGGTTAAAAGTATTCGTTAAAGTAAGCAAGTTTTACTGAAAACAATGGTTGTTTGTGCAGTGAAAGCCTGCAATAATTCTTATCGAAAAACTATAAGAGTAAAAGGACAGGAGATAAAATACTTTAGGTTTCCTAAAGGTCCTGAAATTCCTGCAAAGTGAATCGAAGTTTACCGTAAAAATGTAAATATAACGCATGGTAGGGTTGAAATATTGCATATTAACGCATAAACAAATTGACAGTGTAAACAGTTTAATCTGGTTAGGTTAACTTTTTGCAATGAAACAAAAATATCATGAAACTCCGGGTGAAAATTTGTCAGAATGTTTATATGAATTGAAACACTTTTCGAAGTATTGAGGAAGAATACACTTTTTCTTAGAATTTTTCATTATATGTGAATTCGTATAAAAAAAACGTAAATTTAAAATTTTTTATTAAAAATTCTGAAAAATTATATGAAAAAATTTCACCAAGGGCACTCTGAAAATTTCATCGAGTAATACTATTGTACAATTCCACCTTATTTATTTATGTATTTATTTATGCAGACTTCCTTTTTTAAAACAGCGAGTTGGAATGTATTACTGAAAAAATTGGCTAAAATTATAAACAATTACAATCAGTGTCAATATAAATATTTTATAGGAGGATATGTTCTATACATTTTGAGAGATGGTATTACGAGAAGCCTGCGCAGCAGATGGCTTTGAATTATTCTCCTGTACTTTCACGAAAGTTAAAGTTGGATGCAATTCTTACATTGCATTTATTACAGGAACCACAAGTGGCAGAAAGATAAGAGGTGTCAATACCGTCAATTTATATCGATGATGCATCCAAGTTAACTCCTGCAGCAACACCGAAGGATATGGTTCCTGTAGAATTAAAGGCAACTTCAAAGACATTATTGGAGCAAACTGTTGATGCAGAATCATCAGTGGCGACCTCAAAAAATGTATCAAAGAATATTATCGTATCACTACCATCAAAATCTGATACTTCAGTAGAC